CGCCTCACGCCTCACGCCTCACGGCATGGAGCTGCCGGGCGCGTAGGGGCCATGCCGCCCGGGCCCCGGGCCTGCTGCTCTTCACGCCCCGGCTGCCGCGCCTCGCGTTCGCGCCGGGATGGTGAACCTGGCGGCCATGGTGTGGCGCCGGCTGCTGAGGAAAAGATGGGTGCTTGCCCTGGTCTTCGGGCTCTCGCTCGTCTACTTCCTCACCAGCACCTTCAAGCAGGTCAGTGGCCACCGCTTTCCCGCCGTTGCCTCCTCGCCTCGGGAGAGGTGGCGGGGGAGGGGGGCCTGGCCCGGTTCCGCGGAGGGCCGAGGAGGCGTGGAGCAGACCCGGGGCGCGGACGTGCGGGAGCCGGGCTGCCCGTCCACCCTCAGCCCTCGTTGGGGCGCTGACACCCCGCGGGGACACCCCGGTCCCGGACCTAGTTCAGCGGAGTCCCGGTGTCCCGAGGTTTTCTTCTAGGGGGCAGTTTCGGGGAGAACGGCCCGGTGCCTGGGGGACCTGTCCCCACCCCAAGCATGCTTACACCCAGCCTCGGCCCCGCCCCCTTTCCCTCCCGAGGGTCACCATCGTAAATAAAATGCATGGCGGGGGTGGGGTGGGGATAGGAACCCTTCAAAAGAATTCGGGAAAGAAACGACCTCAGCCCGGGGCCAGCGGAGCTTCCGGCCGAGTGTGCGAGCCCCGTGGCTGGCCGGGTGTGTCTGCGGGAGCTCCCTCGGAACTGCCGCGTGTCCGTGACTTTGGTGCAGCGCCGTCGCGTGTCGCCCTGGCTCAGGTGGCCCTCTTGCGTGTTGAGGGCACCCCGATTCAGCCCTCTGAGCTTCTCGAAGTCCCCGGGGCTTCACTGCCCAAATGCCAGTCGTGCGCCTGGCATCACGGGTTCGCCGTCCGCCCCAGACCCGTCCAGAAAGCGCTGCCTTCCAGTCCCCTCACCTCCTGGCGACCTCATCGCCTTGTGACTGTGTTGCACTTCTCTCAAACTCAGCCACGGCGGGCCGCCTGGTTTCTCCCTTCCCTGGCCTGTCTGTGTGTGACAGTGACACGACTGGCTGGACACGCCGTTTTGTTCAAAGCCGTGATTACCAGGGAACTTAGGGAGGGGCGTGTGCGTGTGTGCGTGTGTGTGTGTGTGTGTGTGTGTGTGTGTGGAATCCCTGGAAAAATGCCATGGTTGTCTTTTTTAAACCTTTGGAAACCCCTCATACTGCCTTTTAATCTTACCCTCTGGGTCCCAGACATTCCCCAGTCTCCTTGGTGTATCCTGAATGTGTTCATTCCTGCGTGGGGTCCAAGCTGTGCTTGTCAGCTACACCACCATCCTCTCTTGTGTGGACCACTGCAGTGGCCTACCGGCAGGTTTTGGCTTCCTTGCTTGACTTCCATACAGCCTGTTCTCTACCGCGCAACTGGGATGATAAGCTTTTATAAAGAATCAGATGACAGCACTCCCCCGAGCATAATTCTTCCTGTTGTACTCAGATAAAAGCCCAGACTGCATTCCAAGATTTCTGCGTGGTTGACTCTTTGGGTCGTTTCATGGCAGGCTAACCATTGCAGCCTCAAGCTGTACCAATGGCACACATTACTTTGTTTCCATTGCTCACAAACCTGCTTTATTTAGTTATTTAATTTGGTAGTGGGAAAAACTAAGTGAATACTTCTTGTTCATTTACTTGTTGATCTGTTTTCCCTCTCCTTTTTTAGAATGACTTTTTTCCCCCCTTCTGGAGACTAGGGACTTTATGTGTCTTGTTTATAGACCCTCCAGCCCCCGGAATACTGCCAGGTACTTAATGAGTGCTCAAATATTGGTTGAACCAATAGTGGGTGTTCACCTTTCTAATGAACAGCTTTTCCTTTCTTCTCAATTTGGCAAGCTCCTATTAATGTTCCTTCTTGTGACTCAGATCTGCCTACAACCTTTTCCCCACAACCAGGACACCTGGTTGCTTTTTTCTTTAATGGCAGTGTGCCTTTTGTTTTACACCTGTAACACGGGCAGGTTGACTGTAATTGTGAATTCTCTCAAACAACTGGATGCATTTTAGTTTTTAAAGGTTTTTCTGGGTTCTATTTCCCCTCAAAGCATAAGAAACACTTCTGTGATATCTTAGCATATTGTATCTGCTTTCCGAAGAACCAACAGAACCAGCCACTGAAAACCCTATGGAGACCAGCTCTTTTCTAACACACGCGGGATCTCCATGAGTTACATTCAACTTGACTCTACATTTCAGGATTGGCAACAGTGTGGAACTAGGTCTGGGCTGCATCTTCAGATTCTAGAGCAGCAGTTTTCAACCTGTGGGTTGCAACCCCTTTGGGGATTGAACGACCCTTTCACAGGGGTCGCCCTATTCATAAAAGTAGCAAAATTAAAGTTATGAAGTAGCAACGAAAATAATTATTTTATGGCTGGGGGGTCAGCACAACATGAGGAACTGTACTAAAGAGTCACAGCATTAGGAAGCTTGAGCACCAGTCCTAGAGTGTGTTCTCTCCACTGAGCCAGGTACTCCTTAATGTTTTCAGCTTTCCCTTCCGCATAATTCGCAGGTAACCCTGTCATGCTCCTTCCGTTACGTGGTAGGATCAACTCTGCCACCCTCTTTTAAATTAGGAGTGGCCTTGTTGCTTGCCTCAGAAGAAAGACAGGACTTGCTACTCCTGTAAAGAGTTCCAGCCTTGGAAACCCTAGTGAGCAGTTCTCCCCTGCCCTGTACGGTTGCTGTGAGTCAGGATCAACTCCATGGAAGTGAGTTGGGCGTTTTACTTCTAAGCAGGTTGGTGTAGCTGCCCACTCCCTTCAATCTGCTACTTGTTGACATGGAGCCTCCATTTTGTCTTCAAGACTTTACCACATCCGTGTCCCCTTGTTTGCTTTAGTTCTGTGCAATCACCAATCCATTTCCTATTTCTGGATATTCTGGATATTTCCTATACGTGAAGTCATATATGTGTTCTTTTATGACTGACTTCTTTCACTTTGTACAGTATTTTCAGAGTTCACCCCTGTTGTAGTGTTTATCCATGGCTCATTTCTTATGTTTAAATAGTTCGTTGTCTTGATGTACCACATTTTGTTTATCCATTCATCAACTGATGGTTATTTGAATTGTTTCCATTTTCAGCTGTTAGGGATAATGAGCTTGAATACTTGTGTTTGTATGTTACCATGTGGGCATATGTTTTCATTTCTCTTGGATCTGGATCTAGGAGTGGAATTGCTAGGCCAAAATTGTAACTGTGTTTAACTTTTTGTTTAACTTTGAGGAATGGCCATACTTGGCCTGAGTGTCTATACCATTGCAGTGAACTTTTACGATCTACTACTGGTCAAGTTTTTGTGTCATATCAAAGAAGAATATACATGGGGGAAAAAAGAATATACAGGATAGTCTATTAAGATAGTCCTCCCATTTCCTGCTATATAGCTCTATGTGAGGTGGATTTTCTTCATATGCTTCAACTCTAAACCATACCTTGCAACAAATTGAATATAGAAGTAGACATGAGAGTCTGCTTATCTTTTATGAAGCTAGACATTAAAGAGATTTGCAAAAATGTATAATTCTCACAACATTTTTTAAATCAATTTTTCCCACAATAAAAAAGTTAAAATATTTTTGTTATTTTCAAATGAATTGGTAAATACATATTTTAAAAGCTTGTTTTGGTTTACAATATGGTAAACAGCACTAATGGTATCCCACATAATCCTCAATAATGTAGGAGTCCTGGGGCCCAAATTTTATTTATTTAAACAATTAGCATGAAATGAGTGAAGGTTTACAGAGCAAATGAGTTTTCCATTCAACAATTCATAGACATTTTGCCGTATGTCATTGATTGCAATCTCCACAATATAACATCACTCATCCACTTGTATCCTGGGTTTTGTTATCATTCCTCCTCCTCCTCACCCAGCAATCTGGCCTTCTGAACTTTGTCCTGGGGCAAAGGATGCCCATTTTATCTTTAATGGTTGCATACATTCCTAATGTTGTTGTTCCCCTTATAGACCTGTTCATTGTTTCACTGAAAATTGAGCCTTGGGAATGCTTTCTGGACCTGATAGGTGACTTACGGGCTATTAGGCTCAAGGATTCCATGAGTTTCTAGTCAATCAGGAAGCCTTCTATGATTTCGAGTTTTGAGAACTGCAGCCCATTGTGACCCAGTATGCTCTGCAAGTGTCTTCTTTACCACCCTAGCTCTACTCTGGTTCTGCTCTCATTTGGTACTCCCTAGGTATGTGATGCCAGGTGAGTTTGCTTCACCCTGCTTTGTCTCCAGTTCCTCAGAGATGTAGTGCGAAATGTCCAGGTCTTTGATGATGAATTGAGAAGGAGCAATGGACAACTTGATAGGATCCTCAGCTCTGCTTCAGTGAGACAGTGAGCTCATGGAGCAGATGTGGCAGCATGCTGCCTAGAGAGTCGTTGATTATCCTCTGCTGCTTTGAAGATCTTTTCTTTAGTTTTCATGTTAATTAATGCTTTGGGGGCTAATTTTAAATTGTAGAGATGGGAGCATTGGAGAAATTAGGGATGTGATGGGGGGGGGGTGAGTTGGGACTGGTGAGTGGTGCCAGGTGATTTGGATACATTTACTTAACAGATGTTTAGTGAGTACTGACTGCAAGCTAGATACTGGCCTGCTCGATGGAGTGTGGAACAAAGCAGATAGGGACTCAGGTCTGTGAGTCCATATTCTGTTTGGAGATAGGGGAGGCCATTAGTAAATAAGAAAAATTACTTCAGATAGTGATTTATGATGTGACTAGAACAAAACAGGATGGTACGATATAATGACAAGATGGCCCTAACTGTACGTGGGGAGGTTAAAAAAAAAAACAAAAAACACTGGTACAGATAAGAGCTAGAAACACAGGGAGTCTAGGACAGATAAATCCCCCAGGACCAATAGAGTACCAATACCAGGAGGGTAAGGGGAAGATGGGGGGAGGATAGGGGAACTGATCACAATGATCTACTTATAACTCCCTACCAGGGGATTGGACAATAGAAAAGTAGGTGAAGGAAGACATAGGTCAGTGTAAGACATGAAAACAATTTTTTATAAATTACTGAGGGTGATGGAGGAAGGGTAGGGGAAGGAGGGGGGAAAATGAGGAGCCGATACCAAGGGATCAAGTAAAAATAAAATGTTTTGAAACGAATGATGGCAACAAATGTACAAATGTGCTTAACACAATG